AAATTCATTTGACGCATACATCGGACGGGTATAGGAAGACGTTCCGTCTTAAGACAAGGTCTGCGCGTGTGTGTTTACGCGTGTGGGTATTTGCCTGTTTGTATAAATAGTGGATAATTTAGGTACACGGTGAGCCAAGGTATTAGCATGTACGGTTTCGCGCTTTCTCCGGTATTCACGTGTGGAATCCAAAGTACACTCCCGTATAAATCATCCGATAGAAATGGCCGGTAACTCATTGGCCACGGCGCGCGGTGCACGGCGTTGCGCGGCGTAAATCGAGAAGGTTGTGACAATGATTCAGCGCGGGTTTATGGCTCGCCGTGTAATTAAGTCGTATCCGACGAGCATTACGCATGCAAACGCGGGACCGGGTCCACATTTGGTGTGGACCGGCTCCAGCCCGCCGTTCGCTAGCCGTAATCGGATCGTCTCGCCACCGCTCCTGGAAAATTCTTTCGACCCTTGTAAATTTCCACTTTCGACCGTAGCTCATTTTTTATCGGACCTTTCCTTTGCTCCGGCTTTCCCCGCCTTGTCTGTTCCACGTGTCTCCTGCGCTTTCTATGTAATCTTCTGCCACGGGGAAAACGTAATTGTTGCGCGGGTTGCAAGGGTGGCGAGCGGGGGGCCGCGAGCGAAGGATAAACATCACGATGGTATGAAGTTGTTAACTCGAACGCGAACGTGATGGAAAGCAAATTGCATTTATGCCCGTGAAAAATTGCCAGCTACCATGCGCGTGAAACAAAAAATAACCGAGACAAGCCCGATTTTTCTGAATTGGTTTTCTCGCAACCTGATCCTTGTCTTCGTCCGATCGCTCGCTATTGTTCAATTACTCGCGTCCAAGGTCTCGTTGATCACGAGGAAAATTGAATTGATTGAACGTCGCGTCGTCTGTGAGGAGGCTGATACACTCTGGTAATGATCGATGTGTATCGGGGAGATTAAAATTGCTGGCAACTTCCAAGCGTAGTTGTTAGCAAGACTTTAATAACAAAACTGACGAGTGCAGTTGAATATTATCGAGTGCGATGTTAAAGTTCTCAATTCGACATCGATCACTGTCCAAAATCTATCCGACTTCGAGATCGTTCTCAGTCCGCGAATACAGCAAGTTAATCTTTTACGATTCAAAAACTTTTCGATTTTAAATTCCTCCCCATAAATCTTTTAACTTCAACATACATTCTTTGCAATTCAAATATCTTCTGCCTCATTTACTCTGATCGTCATCTCGTGGAGGTCATACCTCTTCAACACGGTTGTTGCGCATAAACTTTTACTAATTTATGCGTTTTCTTATTTACTTTCTATTTTTATTTATTTCACTATCTTTCCATTATTTGTACCTATGATAGCACTATTGGATTATATCATCTGTCTACAGGAATTCCGTTTCCGGAATGGTTGGGACTAAACTTATATTATGTTTATTTATACACAAGCTTTTGTTGTATTTTGCACGTTCATGTGCCGACTAACTCGAAGTCGCTCAGAATCTATGTTTCATTTGATTTAGACTCAACTCAGGGCAGCTTAGTATCGCGGATCACAAAAAATCTATGTTTTACTTATTTTCTACTCAGCTCGAAGCAGCTCAGATCAATGTTTCACTTGACTTCGAATTAGCTCAGGTCGAGTCAGATCTATTTTTCACTTGACTTCTACTCAAGGCAGTTTAGATCTATGTCTCACTTGATTTAGAATCTACTCAGGGCAGCTTAGTATCGGATCAAAATCTATGTTTTACTTATTTTCTACTCAGCTCGAAGCAGCTCAGATCAATGTTTCACTTGACTTCGAATTAGCTCAGATCGAATCAGATCTATTTTTCACTTGACTTCTACTCAAGGCAGTTTAGATCTATGTCTCACTTGATTTAGAATCCACTCAGGGCATCTCAGTATCGGCTCAGAATCTAACGAGATGAATCTAACTCAGAATCACTTCGGTCCTCCTTACTCTTCCTAATTTATAAATGGACGGCGAGAAATGCTGCCCAATCACGGCAATAATTATTGGGACCTAGGAGGAGGTATCGCAGACGCCTCCAGAGGGGTTTAAATCTCGAGGGAAAGTTTGAAAATCTTCAACATCTGGAAACGTTTCGCGCTAAGTAACACGAGTCCCGAAGTGTTAACGAGTCGAACAGGCCCACACCCTAGCCACTGAGGACACAAGGCACATGGCCCCCGCCATAAACCCCAGCTGTGTGTGTGCGCAATCCTTAATACTACAATATGTGTTATTGAGGTCATATGTAAATGAAAATAGTTCATGTAAACTTATGTCCGAAAATGCTTTATTGAAAAGATATAAGATTTCAAAGATATTTATGATCTATTGTGGCAGTTATAAAAATGTTCGAAAATTCCTTCTCCTGCAAGAATGCAGATTTTCATCCGTCGAATTAGTAATTGTTGAACTGATTCAAACATTCCATCAGAATTGGTAGTAATAGTAAGCGCATTTCGAATACATTCACTAAATTGATCTTCCGATTTTATCGTATTATTATAAATTAATGTCCACAGCAATAAAGCATGTTCGAAACATTTTTCATCTATTTGATCCTAGTAACACAATAGAAATTTGGACACAATCTTTCTGGACACCCTGAACAATAAATAATAGTAGTAAAAAACAACTGAGTTGATTTGAATAAATAGAAGAAAATATGTATTATATATAAGCATTACGTACACACCGCGACTTCTTAAAATCACCAATGTGTACAAAACTTTTGTATATGAATATATACAGAGTATCCTTTCTGTAGTAACATACACAAAATCGACCAGAATTCGTGCTGTTTTACAGTAATAATAACACACACAGTTCATAAGAAAAACGGGTTCGACAAAACTATAAGACAGATTGGGTTCTCCGTAAAAAATGAACACATAGAATTCTTTTTGTTATTTTTTAATAATGTGTATGTCCACCTTATCTTTTTACTACTTCCAACATTCTTTGTGATAAAGATTTATACAGTTTTTTAATTTTGTTTTATATCAAATTCGTCCACGTCAATTTCGTCAAATTCGTCAATACACTTTTTTAATTCTTCTATGCTGTTATAAACTGCTTTCCTCTTAAGTATACTTGAGTATATTCCCCAATAGAGTTTTCAATAATCTTCAAATCCGGCGATCTTGCAGACCACGGTAAAATATCTATATTTTTAGAAGCTCGTGTTATTCCTGCAATATGCACAGCTGCTGAGAGATATACTTTTGCTTAGCTATTTTTTGTGCATATTTCGATAGTTGTGTATTAACGATATCCACGTATGTTTTACTATTCATTTTTGCAGAAACAAATTAAATATCCGTCTTTCCATAGTATCCTATAGTTGCCCACATCATAATACCACCGCCACCCATTTGCCGTCTTCGCAACAAGATTTTCTCTTTCCTTAAATCAGGAAAATAATAATATAGGTCCATCAGGTCCATCTAAATTAAAACGCTTTTCGTCAGGAAAGATTTTTTTTTTCCACTTTTTACGCCAATGTATCCGACGCTCTGCTAATTCCAATTTGGCTTGATTACGTTTGTCAGTTAGTGGCAGTTGTTTCTACATTTTAAGCTTTTTCAAATAAATACTTAGAACCATTATTATTCTCTGCACTGTCCTAACAATCGTTCACACGTCGGATTCCGCTGCTATTTGCCATGTCCTTGATTTTGGACGACCACCGAGGTTCTTTCTAACATATTTTGTTTATTTTTTGAATAGCTGTAAAATATGCAACGACTTCTCCCTAATATATGGGCAATTTTTCGCACTGAATAATTTTCCGTCTTCAAATTGTTAATTATATTGATCTCTGTTGCATTTAGTTCTTTTCCTTGCGGAATTTTGTATAATAAAAAACTACTGCACACACAATATCACCTTAAATATTGCACGCCTAATAACAACAATTGGAAACGGAAGTCTCTTTTCGTAGTGTTTAGTTTGTCGGTTTATCGGAGACTGTTTCATAGTTTTGTCGCGATTCGAGTAGCATGATTACATTTTTTGCCTCAATTTTCGAGACCGCTGACTTACGTATTTCATACAACTGAGCGATATGCTTTTTTGGATTGTAAACAATAATACTACGAGTGAAAGAAAAATAAATTTTTAAGTTACATAGAAATTTTTGCAATTTTCGTGAGTGCCTTATAGTTTTGTCACGGTGTATATTTCCTACTCCATTATAGGAATTATTCTGTTTGGTTGTTGGAGTTTCTGATAATGGATATTCGTTACTGGAACTTATGGGATTTATTTTTTAACGACAAGTCCCACTTAAAAATAACTGAAATACACTTTATTCAAATTCTCTTGTCATTAATACAATAACAATGTATACTACAATGTGAACTGATCGTGGATACCTGAACAAGACACTATTATTTACAACGTAACGATTATAAAAGCTGATCGAAAGCTGACAAGCGCGTAACCATTAACAGTCAGGCATTATTGTCCAAAAAGCGACCAATGAATTAAGCAATGTTTTCATTGTAGTTAAACACATCACTGACAAAGTATAATTAAAGAAAGTATAAAAAATGCGTCAACGAAGAATTTTTCTATTACAAATTCTGACAATAAAAAGAATTGTCCACCACACATGTGAGTCATTATATTATTCATAGATGAAACGTACTACGTTCTTCCGTTTTTCGTATTAAACAGTGCAACATTTAAAATTTAATTAACGTATGCAACGAACATTATCTCGACTACTATACAAATAAAGTATACGCATATTTCATTTTTCACTTCTTAATCAAATAAATTAATTAATACATATTTTATTAATTACTATTATATTAATGATTATTTTAATAAAAATAATTTTCACTTTTTCCAAATATCGTATCTGCAAAAATATTCAAAGTCGCGATATAGTTATGATGCTTTCACGTAGATAGTTTCGAAATTGGAACGTTCCGGACTTGATTTTTAGTAATCGATCTCGTTTTCGCATTTTTCAGAGAATCGGTGACGACCAATTACATTGAAGGAGGATCTGTCCTATGAGCCCCTCGATGTGGTAAGTTCCGACGATTTTTAATTTCGTGAAGTAACGAGGATTTAATTCATAAAGTGTTGCCTCCAAATGGCTGGGACTTTAACGAGCACATTAAAGTGGTTTCGAGCCATGCCGGAACTGGTACGTATTACGTACTCCAGAGGCTGTCGGCCGTTAAACTTTGCGCGAAGAAATTTTTTTACATGAGGAATGAACTTCTTTAATTTTACGTTATGAAATATACGAAATATCATTCGGAATTAGAACCGCGTTCTGTTCGAATTGACGAATCTGAACGCTTCACATTCTTAATTTGCGAATCCTCTCGCAGCTACTGTCAAATATAGAGCATTTCGAAATATTTAAATTATTAGGAAATTTCGAAAAACGTCACGGACGTACTAAGGGTAGTTCGTCTATTACCGGACACTTCAGATTTTTTCTAAGGAAATATGAAAAGATGATATTTTACACCTTTTAATTTCCACGAATTTCAAGTTAACAATAATACAATTTGAGACAAAAAGTACAAAATGAGAAACATTATTATAATATTAACTTAAACTAACTTTGAACGTTAGTTTAAAATTTTAAAGAAAGGTTTAAGTGATCACTGTTACCAGAGGCAACAAAGATTCGTGATACAGTTTATGAGAAGTTCAAAATAATTGACAATGATCACATTCAAAGGGTGTCCCAGTATCGGTGGTACAATCAAGAAGGGGATGATTCTACATAAAAAACAAATCGAAAATAAAGAATAACATTTTTTCAGTTCAAGCGCCGTTGTAGCGAAAATCGAATTCGAATATTCACAATTTTCAACGATTTTTATATTAATAAAGTAAGTTTGTAACTAAATTTCGTGTCTTATTTTCAATGACATCCATTCTAAATCCGTAGACAAAAGTACTTCACGATACTACTTATATTAGTACTATCTATAAATCATACTATACTAGAGCTACAGCTGATAACGAAAGTATTCGAACGCCTTTGAAAATGAAATAACCTTTTTAGAACTAGACTAAACTAGTTGAATATTTTTTAGATGATAGTAATACCAGTCTACTAGATCATAACTAGAATCCTTTTCTTTAATTTTGCTATTGTAATAAAAAATAATAAAAAGAATAAAGAAGTAATAAAAAATACTCTTGTTTGAATATTCAAAATCGATTTTAGCGACAACGAAACCTCGAATGAAAAAATGTTATTCCTTCTTTTTTATTCGTTTTTTTCGTGTAGAATCGCTCCCTGCTCGGTTATACCACCGATGCTGATACACCCTCTATAGTTCATTTCATAATTTGAACATTGTACCGAGCCTTCATCTGTTATGCCTAGGGTCTAGCAGCTTCACGTGGTCGGAAGGCCTAGCTTTTGGTGTTTTGGTAAGGAAATGCGTGGTCTAACATAATCGTAATCTAGAGTCTTTATTCATACGTAAGCAATTAAAAAAAAAAGTAACCCTCAACATCCAGGAAACACGTTTCTATGGACAACGATCGACTTGCCTTTGCTTCCTCAAGCATTTGCCTGTTATATCAGAGTGTTTCTAACATCGGGTTCTTCTCAAAGTACACGGCAATAAATATAAAAATGAATGGATTATTTAAATAATGGTATTAAATACTTGTTATTTTGATTGTGAAATGGTTTAATTACTTATCGTTTTATTGTCTCGAAATTACACATCCATTGAGAACCTTCTATACGTTTAATTATCTTTAACTTAACTTTTCTCCAAAAAGGAAAAACATGTCCTGGAATCTCAATGGAAAACTATTCCTTGAACTGTCCTGGACATTATTATACAAAATTTTCTTGCAGTGGCCCGCATTTGTAATTGTAATCATGGTTTTTAGTAGCGCGTCCGAAAACAAATCGGGACATTCTTGAGAAATGAGTTTGTTCCTCACCCAGTGACAAAAAATAGATGTGTTTCGTTTAATTCAGAACACATTCTATTTAAACGATTGCTCAGAAGAAGTTTACAAAGGTTTAGAAAGTTTTGCAACCTTCTATGTGTGGATATTAATAATAGATTAAAGCACATTCGAAAAGCTTCCAGATTGAATTCTTGTAAAGATCTTATGAAGAATATGCTATTGATGTCTGATTTTTGCGAATAGTTTCGTACATAATTTCTTATCATTTATTAACCTCTTACACTGAAATATTTGTGGCAGGTTTATGTGTTATGTTCAAATATGTGTCAGTTATGTATGTACTTCTAGTTTCTTGTTATTTCTCAACCTCTTACAATGAAATATTTGTTGCTTGTTTATGTATCATGTTCAAATGTCTATCAGTTATGTGTGTATATATTCCGTTAGTATGTGTGTTAGCTGTTCATTTATTATCTTGATATATGTATATAATGTACTTAAATTACATAACAGATTTTTATGTACCTTGACTTATTATTTATATTCTGTTACATTGAAATATTTGTTGCCTGTTTATGTGTCAGTTATATATTTATTATGTTACAATGTGTTACCCGGCACCTAGTAATTCTTAATAAAAAATGTTTTGAATACAAATTAGTACACAATTTCTAAAAAATTACAGTACTAAATGTTGAAAAAAGGTTTTTTTATTCGACAAAAGAACAAAATCGTTGCAATTTTTTAACATAACTGTATATTATTTATGTACAAATCGATTCATCATTGTATTCCTTTTAAAAAATTATTAACGTACTTAGGTCGAAAATTAATTAGTTTAGAAGTTATGATTATGGTCCCGGACGCTCACAAGATCGCATCGCTGTGCACCACTCGGGGATAGGTTTTCGTGAACTAGCCAATGCCTATTTTATCGTTGGAGCGCCACTATGTAAAATAGAAGTTTCGTAGCCGATGACTATTTCATTACCGATACGTCGCTAGGGGTAAAAGAGTAAAAGAGTGTAAATAATTTTATCATAGTTTTATACAGTTCGAGCGGCAAAAGTATATTGTTGTGGGTCGTATTAGCTACTGGAATCGAAATAATCATTAACTTAAGGGAGTATATTCTAGTGTAAATTATGTTTTTGATTAACTTTTTGGGGATTTACAAGGTTTATTTATACATGGTTCAATAATATCTAACAATTATTTGAGTTAAACAAAGTTAAAATTGGTGGCATTGGCTCCTTTGAGTTTCAAAAGGATCGTCCTATGGTGTCCATGATTGCGGTCATTTCGTTTATCTGAAATGAAAAAACGTGCAAAATTCTTAATTAGTATGAGTTCCACTAGAGCAGGTACTAGAACAATAAAAAAAAGATCTATGGTTAAAGAAATTTGGAAATTTGAAGAAGTAAAGAAAAAGTAAAAAATATAAATGTTTGGTTTGGTTCTAGTTTGCTTTGGTTCTCTATTTGTATACAGTATTTGTATACAAAACTTGAAATGTATTGTTCTCCAAAGTATGTTTCTCACAACGGTGACCGTGAAAATCAACTCGTTCAACTGCCTTCAAAATTAGGTGCACATTCAGAATATACTTATGCCTACAGCCCGTACTAAAACTAATCCAAAAAATTTAATACAAATACTATATTTTACAAATACCAAATCAAAAATTTTTATATAAATACTGTATTTTTTACAAATACTGTATACAGTATAATACTGTACGTATACAAGTATACGTACATGTATACAGGGTGGGGCATTTTAAACAGGTCACCAGAACAACTCGCTTGTTTTTGAAGATAGCAGAAAACGCATTAGACCAAACTTACTTACTATATATAATCTGGTATTACCAATTTTTCTGTAGGTGAAGGCGTCAAGGAGATATGAAGGTCAATTCTGTTTTTTTAAGTGGAACAGTAAGTTTTTTTACTTACATTCTGATAGAGTGTTTCGAGGCGAATACAATGAACTATTTGAAGGTCATTCAAGGTCACCCAAAGTCAACTGCAAGAGAAAATAAATTGTCTCAGAGTACTTTTATATATATATATGAGCCCTCCGATACCAAGTAACTTTGGTCTAATGCATTTTCTCCCATCTTCAAAAACAAGCGAGTTATTCAGGTGACCTGTTTAAAATGCCGCACCCTGTATAGTGTACATACGTGTACGTAAACGTATACAGTTTTGTATACAAATACACTAATATCATCCATATTATGAATAATCAGCCATTTGTATCTTTCTTGATTTTATGAATTCGAAGTTATTCTTAACGTTTTGCAAACGTATTTTTCAATCCACACTTCAAGAAAATATAAAAAATCGTTTTTTTCTCAAATATCCACACTAGAATACCCCTTTAAGAAATTCCAAAGAATCTTCATCTCAGCAGTTGAGATTTAAATAATTCCTTATTTCCCAATAATTTTTTATTCCTTTTTATTAAGCGCGTAAATGATTCTTTCCAATGAAGCAGTTGTCAACTTTCTAGATGGCTCGGGTTTGCAGGTAGATCGACTCGCGTATCATACAAATAAAAATGAAATTTTTATGGCTCATTTTTCGTTAATTATGTTTGCAAAATAAGTATAAGCTCGTGACAAGAAGTTTGATGGAAGTAATCTGTAACTTAGGGCAAGTTGGAGGCAGGCTGGGTGCTGAAACCATCTTGAAATTAACCTACTTAAAACTACTAACGGTGGATCGTAATTCTTGCTTTCCCAAAGTAATGTCGCTTTTAGTGAATATAAATTTCTTCGTTAATACCTGTCATTTTTCTACACGTGTTCATTAGTGTACATTTTAACTAATTTGGGGAATGCAAGTAACGAGCAGTATCAATTCTTTTTGCGACGTTCTTCGAATTAATAACTGTAACAGTTCCAAACTTGGTACACATATTTATATGTAAATATACATATAAATTATAATGCCGGTTTTTGTCAAGCACGCATACACATTTAGCGTATAACGCGTATAATGAGAGTATTAATTTCAGTTATAAAAATGACCCCTGCTCCCAGATCTGCAAAAATAATGAAACTGCAGAATGTATGTGTATTAACTATAATATCGTCTGTAACATAAAAAGACTATAAAATTGATA